AAAAAAAAAGTCTAGCACAACACAATTAACACAGTTTCCTAGCGCCAGACCTAGAAATTCATTTCTCTCAATGTAGACTCATAGCGTGAAGGTTGCATTCAAGCAAGACTATCAACACTCTGTGTTAATATCAGTGACCACTTTTATATTTACATAAGTTCTATCCCTGATATTGAGCACTTTTTCATAATATTGCAGACCGTATCACTATATTTTAATATATATATATATATATATATATATATATATATATATATATATATATAAGGCCAGAAGATTGTGTTTAAGCATGAAACAGACTGTTGCTTCTGGGGGCTGACTTCAATGTCCACTTCATGAATTTTTTCAAATTCAAAAGCCTTGATAAAACAAATAACATCCTTGCTTTTGTATATAAAAATGTACAACAAAATAAATCCTTACATTTAATTTACCTTGATAAAGTCCCTCAGAGGCATCTTTTATTAATTTACATTATATATATATATATATATATATAATGTAAATTATTTTAGATTGAGTGTATCTTTGAGTAGACAAAACTAATAAAAAGATGCCTCTGAGGGACTTTATCAAGGTAAATTAAATGTAAGGATTTATTTTGTTGTACATGTTTATCTAAAAATAAATAAGCTTAAATTCACCTTCATCCCTGCCGTGCGCCAACGGCTTAGTGGTAGAATCCCCGACTGACACCATTTCAGTCTGGTTTTGATCTTAGCTAGAGGCAACCGGATGTCTAACCACACTGATGAGCTGTGATACAGCGAAACAGTCTGTCTGTGGATGACTATATATATATATATATATATATATATATATATATATATATATATACTTGGTGCCAGTATACTGAATTTTTTCATGGATTTGGCTACATAATGTATATGTAAGGTAATAGTTAAATATGTATTGCAGCTGTGGCAGTGACACTGTTGAAATCATGGGTAATAGACAATATTTAACAAGTAAAGAAATCAAACATTGTGTCAAGTCAGATTCCAGTTGAATTCTGGTGCTTCTCAACCCATCAGTCCACCTTTCAATGTACAATGTACACTTCATTCTATAGAGTTTTATTGTTGATCAAAGGGTGTGAAATTAATATCACCATTTTATTTGCTGTTGCACTTCATCTAGGCAAGAGAAGTGGGTTAATGGAAGATTGCCGCTGTGCCTGACATATATTACCAACTCTTTCGAGCAGATGGTTGATTTTGTGCACTGATGAAGCTATGACTTCAATCCAGGAGCAAGGTGTTGAGCAAGCTAGTAGGAACCCTGTTATAGTATGGAATATTCACAAGGATCCTTGTAAAACTATAGTCTGTCTTGATAGTTATCATTCGAACAGATCCTGTTGCAGACTATTTTCACTTCCTTATATTTGGATTGTTTGCCAATGGTCATGTTTGGTAACAATAAAACAAGCCCCATTCTTATATTACAGAGGTGACACAAAAATGGTTCCATGAATTCTTGGTTTATTTGCTCATATTTCATATAATGGGACATGTTGCATACCTCAGTAAATGCCCTGTAGCCAAATCAAGAAAAGCTCCTGACTCTATGCCTGAATGGATTAACCCATGCAACAATTTTTCACCATGTCGGCTCCAGGCCATATTGTCCAGGTGAAGGAAGGAACGACAGATTATAAGGAAGTGGTTTCCAGGTTTTTGGCAATTTAGCTTATGTAAGTATATATAAATATGTTTCATTATGCAATTAAATAGATGGAAAGTGAGAGAAAGGGAGTGCTACAATAAGAATGAAGCATTTTGGTGATAATGAAATAATAAAGAAATGCAAAGGACTGAGAGAGTGAAAGTGTTGCGAGTGAAAGAAAAAGGAAAGGAAAAGTGAGAGAGAGAGAGAGAGAGAAAGAGAGAGAGAGAGAGAGAGTCGCAGATACATGGAGAGAAACAGAAAGTGATAGATTAAAAGAAAGGCATAAAAAATAGAAAAGTGAAAGATGGGGAAAAAGAGAAAGCAAGAGAGGGAGGGGGAAGATAAGAATGATAGTGAGAGATCTGAAAGATAATGGGAGTGAGTAAGAGATGTAGAGAGAGAGATAAAAACTGATAAATAGAGACAAGGAGAGAGGGTGTAAGGTAGAAAAGAGAGTGAAAGATGGAGAAGAGGGGAATATGGAAAATTGAATGGAAAAAAGTGAGAATAATAGATGAGAAAGAGAATATGGCAGAAAAGGGTAGGTAGAGAGCAAAAAAGATGGCATAGGAGAGAGAATCTGAAAGAAAGAAAAGGATAGAGGTTGAAAAGGGAGAGGTGTGTACTTGAATGCCAGAGGCAAAAACGATATTCGCACACAATGTTTGCCTTGTTTATCTCATAAATCAGCAGAAGGCAAAGTTCAATTTTCACATCATAAAAAAAAAGACATTTTCCCTTCAATTGCTCCGTTTTCGTTTAATTGTTTATCATTTAATTTCTTGTTCCCCTTCAGCTGAGGGCAAACAGAAGCACGTTTCTTTTGCATTGTGGTATTTCTGCTGCCAGTGCCAATCTAAATGTTCCCTGATAGTCAACAACCAATCACAAAGAATTGTTGAATAAAGAAATTTATGCGTATATATAAAGGTCTGTGTAAATATACATATTTAGTAAAGTAAATTAAGGTCTGACACAAGGACAGATGTGGATATTCACAACAATATCATATGAACCATAAAGTTAAGGCAAAGTATTTACTGTCATATGTGTGTAAATAGATAAATATTTGCTTATTATTGTTCACAAAGACAGACAGACAGACACACACACACACATATATATATATATATATATATATATATATATATATATATATATATATATATATATATATATATATAAAAAGTAATATTTGCCAAAGAACAGTTTAAATTAATAAAAAAAGTGCTGAATAAAATTTTCAAAAAACAAAATTATTTTATGTCTAATGATTTTTTTCTTTTTCTTTTCAGATTTTGGCAGACATTTGAATGATATTATTTTTCATACATAATTGCCAGGACTTAAATAACACAATCCAATAGAGAAATAAATAAGTTTTCACCATTAACATTGATTTATTTACTGCTAACTTTCAGCCGTCTTAATCAAACACCCTATACATAATCCGTCTTAATCAAACACTCTTTATATATATATATATATATATATATATATATATATTCATGAATCATTCATACAAAAAAAAAATATAGAGGTTAATGATTTAAATGGCAAGAATACATCATCGCAAACTATATAAATAAGATACACCATCTCCAAACCTGTATATGAATGATATGATCCCCGTTTATAAATTCCAGTTGCATAAGGTCTTTTTAATTTTTACAAGCTTTCGTCTGTTCCTACAGACATCATCAAGTATGGAAGTAGATTTTGTTCTTGTTTTTACTTCTCAGTAATAAGAGGACAACGAAAATAGAGATGGAATCCGAAAAAAATGCTATGAGAAATGTGTTATTGTTTTGGAACATGCGGTCCTAAATAACTGAGTTTGAATTTAAATTTTAAGGTTGTGCGTTTTTTGTACAAATATAGCAATAAGATTATTCTTTTTTACTGGTAGATTTTCCGTGAATATGGCATGAACTATATTGTTATATATATATATATATATATATATATATATATATATATATATATATAGAGAGAGAGAGAGAGAGAGAGAAAGAGAGAGAGAGATAAATCGATAGATAGAGATATATAAATATATACATTTTGGTGGTCACCTAGCATTTCTTCATTTTTTCTTGCCAAAACTAATGCCACATGGACAACATTCTTTGGGTGGAAGGTGGCACTCGCCTTCCTGCACATGTGTAAAAATTTTCAGACTGATAGGCCACATCACTTCCTGATTGTTATGCCTAGAGTAAAGACATGTAGTGTGCCCTCATTGGATTTTTGTTTTAACTGAAGATGACCAAATGCATTGAGCAGAGATATTGCATCAGTTTTTGGTGAAACTCAAGTTGAAACTTTTCAGAAGAATCAGTGAGTTCTTGGCAATGAAACCATGGGTGAAACTCAGATCAAGAAGTGGTACAACCACTTCAAACATTACCCCATTCTGTGGAGAGTGAGGCAAGTCATCCACAACCCAAAATGAGGACTTGATTGAGAATTTTCAGCAAATAGTCATAGAAGACTGTCATGCAACAATCCAAAAATTTCCTCATGAGGTGGGAATAGGCAAAGGATTAGTGCATTCCATTTTAACAGAGGATTTGTGTATATGGAGAGGGTTGGCAATATTTGCCAACTTATTCCACTTATATAATCCAAGCCTGGTCAAGTACAATACACAATTCATGAGAAAAGGGACATCAGAGTTTTGTAGCATTCCACAGAAGATGTTCCAGAGGTGTTACCAATAAGCGCAGAACCATTGTGAGAAGTATGATTGATTTTTTATGACCAAATGTTGTATACTTTTTGAAATCACCTTGTATTTTGTTTTCACCATTAACTTCTCAGTAGACTTTTTGAGATTAATAAAATTTTCATTAAGTTAAATGTTAATACAGGTTCTATATGTTAACTCAGCATTGACTAATGTTGCAAACAAAACATACAAAACTCTCTGTTTAAAGAAAGAAAAGATTGTCCCATTACAATAGTATTTTCATAGTTTTATTATTTTTTTTTAATTTTGAAATAAAAGATTTTGCACAAAATGGCAAAGTCAAACAGCTAAGCATTGAGATGAGGGCACAAATTGAAATTTGATTCTGACAAGGCTACACTCAAAAGAGAAATTGGCAAGAAGTTGAAGTTTTCTAGACGGGATTGGGGTGCAATATTTGTTACAAAAGCAGTTAGAAATTTGCACAAATGTTGATAGAAAAAGAGCTGGAGCATCAAAAGGGACAACTGCTGCTGAAGATAATCACTTGATTATTAAGTGCAAAAGAAAGAGAAGGAAAACTGTTCCAGAGTTGACATCTGAACTTAATTCCTCTTGACAGCAACCAATGCTGCTCTCA